TGTGATGCTGGTCATTGCACTCTACGAGCATGACCTCAAGAACCTCTTCGGTGAATCCTGAACCTCTGTGCTGCAGACAACTATAAAGGTGTAGGTTGAACCTTTTTGGTGCAATCTCAACCTTATTGGTGAAGGTTGTACCTTTTTGGTGCAATCTCAACCTTATTGGTGAAGGTTGTACCTTTTTGGTGCAATCTCAACCTTATCGGTGAAGGTTGAACCTTTTTGGTGCAATCTCAACCTTATTGGTGAAGGTTGAACCCTTTTGGTGCAAACTCAACCTTGTTGGTGAAGGTTGAACCTTTTCGGTGAAGCCTTAATGACAACAGTGATATGTGTTTTAAGTGAAAATGTTCCCCTAACCAGTGTCAAATTATATAACCAACTGTGAAACTTAGTGAACGCACTAAAAGTGAATTGTGTACGACGAATTTAAAATGTAAGTGATTTCTTTCCTAATTTCAATGATATTGGGTTGTTGAAACCCGGACGGGTTATATTGACTATAGGCTATCAGTGTTAATCGAATACAGTAATCGAATCGTGTTAAGTACAAGAAATTGTGTGTCTATTTTTAATTTTAAATCATTGACAGGCATTTAAATACAGTAATTACTATGTTAGCAAAGTTTTTAAAATCAATTTCATCAATTATTCAACATAAATGGCTTAGAAAACCAATATACAGTAGAACCCCGATAACTCAAACCTTGGAAAAAAACCTCTATAACTTCAAAAAATAATGTTCCGTTCCATCAGAGCCCAAAACCTCTACAACATAGACCCTTGATAACTTAAAACCTCTATAATTTATATTTTGTGCTTCCCTTGGACTTTAACTTATCGAGGTTCTACCGTAGTGTAACAAGTGTTTGAAACATCAAGAAATTATTTAAAAGCATCTTTTTCTGGAATATAAAATTTATTATTATGATTATACAAAGATGTATATATAAAGATATATGTATTTAAATCATAATTTCATATGTTTTCAAAAAGTAATAAACTTTAGCAAATGCTATATGTATTTATAATTTTTTTGACTCATTTGCACTTTTCCATGTAAAACCGGTGCTTAACACTACCTTAGTTTTATTTTTTTGGTAAGCAGTTCCTAAGAAAATGTATTTCTTAGACATAACTCAATAATTGTGTTCCAACTTAATTCTTTTTAATAAAAAAATAATTGTGATGTACTTAGGCAGTGCTCAACTTCCTTGTAAAGTTTAAGCATTAACTTTGATTACTTAATCATGTAACAGTTACTTAATTAATAGGATTTTATAATAAAAATATATTAATTTGTGCATAATTTATTGTATTGATACCTTGATCCCTCTAATAATAAAAAAAAAACATTACAAAAACCTTTAGAAAGGCACTTTTAATTCAATTTGACAGTTTAGTTAAAACTGAAGGTGTAGATGCTTATGATTACGTTTTTAATGTAGAGAGGTGGACAGAAATTATAAATTTATAGTTTGACTTGATAGACACAGATCCTAGCATTTACATAGGTCTTGTAACAATTTTTTGACATTGACAAGAGCCATTTAGGGTTACCACTAAAAATAAAATTCCATGTTTTCGGAATTCTCTTTTTTAAAACGAAACTAAACAATGTAAATGATTTGAGCGAGTTGATATGAGTTGAGTACCCGTAATAAGTACTTACAATTTAAATTGATATATCTAAAGTGAAAACTGCATTTTTTAATCTCTTCTTCAATTGTATTTTAATCTTACTAATGGATGGATGGATGGATGTCTGTTAGTGTTTGTAGCCTAAACGGCTGAACGTATCTCCATGAAATTTGGCACAGGTTTAGAGCATAGTCTGGAAGAACACATAGGCTACTTTTTATCCCGGGAATAGTTACGGTTCCCGTAGGATTCATTAATTTAGTTTTTTAATGTTTACATGATCATTCTGCAACGGTTCAACATATCTTAATGAAATTTGGCACAGATATAAAACAAAGTCTGGAATACACATGGGAAAAGCTTCATCCCCGAGGCATTTCCGGTTCCCGAAGGATACGTAGTTTTTTGTAATTTATATAGTTCGTATGTTTTCTAATACCACGCGGACGAAGTCGCGGGCAACAGCTCGGGTTAAATAAAAAAAACATTAAAGGGTATAAACATTTTATTGACAATATAATCTTATAAACAAGTGTAAATGAACAATTATAGTTCAAGGTGTGACTCGCTTGGGGTCTCTCGGGAAGAGCGATGTCTTGCGAATGTTGTCTAGACCTAGGTATAGCATCACTACACGCTCCAGACCTATACCGCCACCTGGGGAATTTAAAAATAGATATTTCATTATTAGTTTGAATCTGTTAAATTCTTACAGCCTTACTAAAAAAAATAGTACAAATTTTGCTTATACTCAGTTTATTCCTAACTTTAACTTTATACCGCGTTTATTTGTAAGGTTGTTATACTATAAATGCGAAATCATAGATAAATATTACTACAAATTTCGATGAATGTGCTTCAGAATTAAGATTTCCTTGTTTTTTTTTAAATTCCACTCAGAATAGACACAAAATATATAGATCAACAATATATAAATAAGTTGTAAATTTGACAAATCAGCAATATTTTAAAGTTTACAGCTTGGAATAATAATATATCAAGAAAGATGTATTGTGTGTACTTAGAGACCAATTATGAATAAATCTTACTAATATTATAAATGTGAAAGTTTTGATGGATGGATGTTTGTCAGAGTTTGTAGCCTAAACTGCTGAACGGATCTCAATGAAATTTGGCATAGATGTAGAGGATAGTCTGGAAGAACACATAGGCTACTCACTTTTGTTTATTTTAATACCACGCGGACGGAGTCGCGGGCGAAAGCTAGTGTAACATAATCAAATAATTAGAGAAACAATATTTACCTGCATGCGGAGGACAGCCCAGTCTGAACGATTCAATGTAGGCCGCGATCTTGCTCACATCTGCGAAATTAAAACTTTATTAACAAACAGTACCGGCTAAAGCCCATTTACTTGAAAAACATTGCTTAAAAGGTTTGTGTAATTATTTAGCGTATTATATACAGATCAAAATTAAAACGAAGGTGGAGTTAGCACTCAAGGCGAAGGTAATACTAAAACTTCGTACACACTAACCAAAGAGATTCATAATATAGAGGAGGCATTATTGACACTTATTTGAAACATTTTCACATAATCTGACTATTGATACTCAAAACCATCTGTAATTTAGATATATATAATTTATTTTAGAAGTCAATATAAAATGAGGTGGCACTATTTTTTTATATAATAAAAGGGGCCAAATGGAGTGGCGTTAACAGAAATGTGGTTAACGACGCCCATAGACATACAACAGAGGAACTACAGCGTTGCCTTTGAGGAAATTGTAGGGTCACTTGACTAACATAGTACCTTTCAGAGAAAGTACCGGTGAAATTTTTTTTTGTTGTATCGTCTATGTATGTCTGTCAGTAACAAATGTTAAAAAAAGATAGCAATTGTGTATTAGAGACCGATGCCGTGGTGCAGCGCCCTCTCCGCCAGCAGGTCGGGGTCGTGTATGCGCTGCGCGCCGCTCAGGATCTCCTCGCCGCGCATGAACATGTCGTAGGAGTTCGACACGCGCTGAAACCAAAATAAAAAATTAAAAACTGCAATATAATCATCATCATTTCCTCCAACTTATCCTACTCCCGTAGTGGGCATCAGGTTTTTGTCCTCCACATAACTCTATCATGTCATCTCAGTCATCACTCTTTTTGATCATGTCAAGTTTCACGCAATCCATCCATCTCTTTCTAGGTCCACCTCTACATGTGTACCACACTCATAACTAACGTTCTCCTTGTTACATAATATTACATTTTCAATTCGATTTGATTTGAAATATTGTTACAATAATTGCTAGATTAACAAAATCATAATCTATACTATTATAATAAAGCGTAAACTCGCACTTCTTTGTTACCTAAGATGTCAGTAATCACAGCATATTTTTTTAATAATAAGCCCTATACTTGCGTCATGCTTTAGGCTATATATTTTTAAGCCATTAAACTTAAGGGGTAAATATTTTGGATAAAAACCCTAATGGGGGAAAGAAACCAAAAGTTGCTGCCAACATTAAGGAAGCAAGATTGCCAAATTCTGATTGACAATTGTACATGTGTAAACAATAAAATGACATTTTCATAATTTTATGCACATGAAGTCGCACAGGAACAACTAGTAATATTATAAAGAGGAAAGATTTGTTATTTTGTATGTATTGAAATAACTCAAAACTACTAGGGCGATTTTAATTTTTTTTACTATTCTTGCACTGTTAGAAAGGTAATTTTTCAGCGAGTAGCATAGGCTGTTTTTTTACCGACTTCCCAAAAGGAAGTACTCAACTCGTCTGTGTGTCTTTTTTATTATTTTTTAAGTTCATGCAGACGAAATCGCGAGCAACAGCTAGTTTAGCAACTGACCTGGTTATTGGGGTCCGGCAT